CTCCCTCCCCCCTCCCCCCTCGAATATGCCTTCTCGCTCGACGATAATTACGAGCCGTTCTCAAAACAATTGTTCTCAAAATTTAATCGAAAGGAACTTGGCGAGGGGACGAATCGCGGGAAAGGATGATCACAAGATGGGGGAAGAACACAGAAACACACGGGGAAGAGATTTCTTCTCGATCGAGGAAACGTGGAAAAGTTTGCCAACGGTCGAACCAACGAGGTGAAACTTTGATCGAGACGCACGATGATCGGATATCACTTGTCAGCTATCGACCGAATCGTAACGAATTAAGTGGTTTTCGCGACAAAACGAGTGAATGAAACGCGAAAGAGAAATTTCTGCGCGCGTACCGATTTTCGACAACCGATTATAACCGATGCATTTAACTCGGTTAGAAATTACTCGAATTACCAATCGTTGTATACGGAGAGTTTACGTAACAATTCTGATTCGATTTGTTATTTTTTTTTTTTTCAAAAATGTAAAGTTGGTTTTTTTTTAGATAGAAAAGAGCATCGATAAAAGATTTTGGAACAAATTTTGTACTTTGGTTGGAAATGCACTACGGTATTCACTGTGAGGACACAGGATAATGTTATTACTGTTCGTATTACTATAGAATTTTCACGAAATCTATGCTCGATAGCGAGGGATTCTGTAAGAGCTATTCGAAGGGATTTATTACCCAAATAGAAGAAAAATTATACGGAAAGGATCCCCCTTTGAAACCATTCTTTCAAAGCTATATAAATGTCCAATTGATATAGCAAGAGATATAGCACGTGTTTTCACGAAAGTAATAGCCCTCCAATTCTTTTCAAGTTTTATTACGAATATATATATATATGTAATATTAATTATTTTTATAAAAATACTTAATTCAATGAATTTTACGATTGTTACTTACCAGTGACGTAGAATTGTATTTCCAAAAGAATGCTCAGCAGGATCAGAAGCGCTCGCATGATGACAATTAATCTTGCAACATTGTTACTTCAGACGTTCATCGTGTTTGTACTGTAACAAAAATAAAAAAAAAAAATAATCTCTCCTTCTTATCTCTCTTTCTTTCTCTCTTGTCGGATTAAGATGTCGATAACACTCGACCCTTTTCGTTTTCACAGGACGAATTAATTAATAAGAGGTCGTGGAAAGGAACGATAAAAATAGAACGGTGTATCGTATAAAAATGTAGAAGAGAATTGACGTTCCGTGATACAGCACGGTCTTCGTTCGTGATTTCATCTTTGTTATACGCAAGGAGGGCAATGCTCATATCCTCGTATAATCGATATGGATTCAAGTGGTGGGGTTGCGAACCTTAGTCTCTCTCCCTCCTCCCTCCCCCATTCAAGGCTTCAACCTTTCGCTCTAAGTGGCCCACCTTTGTCAAGCATCTTCGACACGGGGAAGAAAAAACGGAGAAATATACGACGAGAACTCGTCGACAAAAGATTCTCAAATATGGATTATGTAGCGGATATAGCGAAACATTTTTATTATTCATGAGTTTCGAAATGATGGGAAAAGGAATTAACAATTTAAATCGATCGTTTTTGGATTAATACTTAAGCATGGATTAACCCTTTTAATAACGCGATTCTGCAATTCAAATTTCTCGAATCGATAAGTAAATTCGTATAAAATAAAATAAAATATAAATATATATATATATATATATAGATTCATTGTAATAATAAATGAAGACAACGAGGATTAATAATTTGGAAAACGCGCGAGAATATAATCCGTAAAATAAATTTTGGAAATGGATCGACTTCTTGAAATTATTTACCGTCGTGTAAATGTATTATATTTAGAATTTTTTGATTTATAATACGAAAGAAGTAATCTGTGATTATTTTTAAAAAATTATGTTTATGGGAATTATTATTTTTGGGAAGATTCGAAGATTCAACGTTCATCGAATGTAATTTGTAAGAATGTTTCTGAATAGGGCCAATTTTGCTTTGACATCTGTTTAGTTACATCGACGATAAATTACTGTTCCTACAAAGAAGAAATCTGTAAAGATTTCATAAGTTTCCATTTGAGGAAAACTCGTGGTGCATCGTGTCCACGGATAGAAATGTCTACCGAAATTCAACATCGATTTATCACTGTCTCTTACAGAAATTCAAGCACGTTTGATCGTCGTTTTCATTTTTTGTTGGGCGAATACGATTGTACGTAAAAATAAATGTATTTATTTCGCGAATTTATCTCAATGGGACACGGAAAATAAAAATAGAAAATTCAGTTTTAGAAAGCGAATCGTAACCGAACCGAAATGTCGAAAGTTTACTGCTATACTGAAGGTTGAAATATTTTGCACGAACGTATATACGTATATAACTTTCTATTTTGGGTGGGGATATGTGACCCCCCACCTCTTATAACTTTAATACTAAGAATACAAATTTGAATTTCGTTGATTTAATCGAGATTATAAATCGCTGCGATTATTTTTTATCGAAATTATTATTTTAAACTCTTTTAACATTTCGCATTTTTATTTCTTTTTTTTTTTCTTTTTTTTTTTTATAAATTTTACTACAAGAAAGCAAATTTAAATTTCGTTGATTTAATCGAGATAATAAATTACTAAATAATTATGTATATTTTTAAACTAATCGCTGCGATTATTTTCTATTAAAATTATTATTTTAAACTCTTTTAACATTTCGTATTCGATTTCCATTTCTTCTTCTTTTTCCTTTTTTTTTTTTTTTAAATTTTATTACAAGCAAGCAAATTTAAATTTCTTTGATTTAATCAAGATTATAAACTTTTAAATTATGTACATTTTTAAACTAATCGCTGCGATTATTTTCCATCGAAATTATTATAATAGAAACTTTTCTAACATTTCATTCGATTTCCATTTTTTCTTCTTCTTTTTCAAAATTTTATTACAAGCAAACAAATTTGAATTTCGTTAATTTAATCGAGATTATAAACTTTTAAATAATTATATACAATTTTAAACTAATCGCTGCGATTGTTTTTCATCGAAATTATTACAATAGAAACTTTTTTAACATTTAATTCGATTTGTATTTTTTCTTCTTCTTTTTCTTCTTTTTTAAAATTTTATTACAATCAAGCAAATTTGAATTTCGTTGATTTAATCGAGATTATAAACTTTTAAATAATTATGTACATTTTTAAACTAATCGCTGCGATTATTTTCCATAAATTATTATAATAGAAACTGTATTAACATTTTATTTCTCGCTTCTTCGATTTTTCTTTTTTTTTTTTTTTTTAAATTTCATTAGCAATCGAATAAAAACATTACAAACGAATGGCGAATCAAAAATTAAAGGAAGAAACACCAATATCAATTATCCCATTTTCAATAACATCCAATCACCATTTTTACGCCCTGAATTTCTAACAAACGAGCAGATCTGTCGAATTGGTGCCCGAGTTTTTCCGCGTACACGGAGCAATCGTAGGACAATATTCGATAACTCAAACGAGGCGAGGGAGGAGGAAATAGGATGGAAGGGGATATATATCCGAAATATCGCTTGTTTATCAGCATTTTGCATCATCGTTGCAATTCCTCCCTTCCACCCCCGAAACATTCCGCGTTTCAATTCATTCCCGTGTTTACCCCACACTTAACAATTCAAACAACCTGTCCATTCGGCCAACTCTGCCCAACTTTTCAACACGCCGCGTCATTATTTCTCGCCTCCGCGCCGCCTTTCCTGCGCCTCCCCATCCCCGATTATTATCGCCCGCTATCGCGTAATAAACTTCAACAATGCGGGCCTAGACGCCTCCTCGACGTGACGATTCGCGAAACATTTTTGTTCTCGTTCCCTTTCCCCCTCCCCTGCTTTTTCAACCAGGTCGCGATTCCCTGTTCTCGCACACCCTCTCCCTTTCTCTCTCTCTCTTTCGAAAGAGAGAGATTTCGTCTACTGAAAATTAAAAGATAAAAGATTTTTCTTTCCCGTATTTAATTTCGTGCCCTTCGTTCCGCGAATCAGAACGTCGAAATGTTTATTTGTTCTCATGGAAGAATTTTTTTTTATCCAAAAGGAATAAAAGAAAGCATAATTGGTTTCGAAAAGACGATATTTGTTTTCGAATGAATTTTCACCAGACCATTCTCTGTCTTCTTCGTCTTTCCATTTGTAACAATAATTTCCATAGGGATAACGCGCTCGTCGACGCGTTTATTAATCCCTTTCGAGAAACACTTCGTATATACGTTACACGAATCATTTAATCCCTTCAAAATTTAATCCCTTTCGAATTTACCCGTGATCAAAGCAATCATCATCACCATCGAATACACATTCAAATCTGTCGACACTTTCTAAATTCTAAAACGCTCGATAAAAGCGCCTGTCGAATTTATCCGTGATCAAAGCAATCATCATCATTAAATACACATTCAAATCTGTCGACACTTCCTAAATTCCAAAACGCTCAATAAAATAAAATCGTCTTCCTTTACGCCTCCTTTACCATCTCTCTAAAAGAAAAAAAAAAAAAAAGAAAAAAGAAAAAGAAAGCAGAGGAAAAATAGTATCACCCTCATATCTCGGTCCTCGATCCTTAGAAAGCGGGTTAAAGTTACCTTCCTCGATAAAGGTCTCGCCTAAAATACGCGCATCTTCCGATCTTCCGGAAACTATCTCTTTCTCCCTTCGTTCCACGTAAGCAACGTGCGCACGTACCATCATTCATTACCCCTCAACTGATTTAAATGATAGATATTCGCGCCGGTATAGCGCATCATCCCCCTCCCCAGGAAACAAAGAGCGTATCCTGGGATAGCATGATCGAGCGGGTGCGCAACCGCGGACTGTAATTTAGCTCTCGTGTAAAATTCACTCTGCACAGAGACAGACAGAGAGAGAGTGTGCGTGTGTGTGTGTACGTGGCGTAATGTATGCATGCAATTGGCAAACTGAACGGCCGTATGTGTGTAGATTGCGAGGTGTGCAGAGGATGGGACTGAAAGGACCGAAGGGCCCGTGGTAACGATCTCAGTCGTACGGTTTCGTGCTGATAACTGGAACGCTTCTCCTCCCTCCCTCCCTCCCTCCCTCTCTCCACGCGTATTTACATACTGATATGAACATCGCGGCAAAAGTTTGTGTAATCAGCTCGTCGTTGAAGAGATACACGCACACAGGATGGTATACCCCGGAGGCAGGGAGGGATCGTCATCGTCGTCGTCGAGAGTTTAAATTATACGGGTAGACGCAAAGTATGCGAAAAGGAGGGAGTAGGAAGGAAGGAAACGATAACGAATGGGTGTGGCGCGTAAGGGGGATGCGGTGTAAAGACATTAAGCCGATTTCCAGGTTAAACACGAGTACAACCGGCTCCTCCCCCTACCCCGTCCGCCTTAAATGCGCGCATCTTTCGCGGTTCTCCAGCCACGGATTAATGCTGCCTTTCATTTCCCTGAATAATTTAAATGGACCGTGCGTTTATGCATGAAACCGTGTTGAAACGGAGAAACTTGGGAAAATACGCGAAAATAAGGTTAAAGATATTGTGAGAATGCGGGAAAGGGATTTTCTCTTCTTTTTCCTTTAAGTTGACGAGGGACGAGTTTTTAAGCTTCTTTTTTTTTCCTTTTTTTCTTTTGCCGCGCGAATGCAATGCGGTATTCGAGAGCGTGTATAATTGAAAGGAATTTTTGTTTTTTTTTGGGACGGAATGTCTCGTATCAAATTTGAAAACTGCTCGTTCGTAATTGCTCGAGCGTACCCTCGAATCTCACCCTCCTCCGCCACTTATCGCCTGCAAATGAAACAAGTTCTCGTTCGGGGAGACGAGCAGAGCCTAACCTCGGGCATTACGAACTTTCCAGCTGAGAGAGAATTCTCGTTTCAACGGCTGCGCGAGAGAGCTCGTGAGAGGAGAAATATGAAAACTTGTATGTTAATGGCCGCTCGACTACGATTGCGAAATTCTTTTCATCTTTGTCATGATCACGCGGCGAAGAGAAAAAGAGGGTGTATATGCTTTACGCCGCAACA